CTACAGTTCTGTGATCTTGATTTTTTTTATTTTTATTTTTTATTTTTTTCTTTTTCTTTTCTTTTTTTTTTTTCTTTTTCTTTTTTTTTTTTTATTGTGATTTTTTCTTGTTTTTATTTTGTTTTTTATTTTTTGTTTTTTTTTATATTTTATATTTTTTTTATAATTAAAATTATATGAATTAAGATCTATGTTCAGAAAAGTAATAATATTTAATAACACTTTCTATTGAATTTTTAACAAATGAGCACTATGTTATAATATTATGTAAGTGAGAAATGATTTTATAATCTCATTTGATATCATTCTCAATAATGAAATCAGAATAAAAATGTGACTAAGAATTCAAATATATTCTTTATCTAAGACTAGATTTTTATTTGAAAAGTGAATCTGAGACCTTTAATATTTGAAATAATGTGATATGAAATCAATGTGATGAATACAAATCATGATCAGAAGTAATGCTTTTAGATAACATAATAACTGTAAAGTTTGATCCTGGTCTCAGACACAGTCACACGGTCAGTCTACTCTCAATCTTCTTTTCTTAGTAAACATCTGATTATGTTTATATGAATACAGATACTAACATTTTATTTTAATTTATATAGAATCTTCATGTATTTACAGATCTGTGTTCACTGATAATCATGATCTCAATATTGAATTATCAGTTGAGAACTTAAGAGATATAATAATAAAAGAATTATCTATGTTATATATAGCTGAGTCTTCTGTATCTCTCTCTGCTCTCTCTGTTTCTTTCTCTGCTACTTCTCTTCAATCTTCTACACTTGTCTCTGTGTCTGATTCTTCTGCTCTCACTATCTCTGTTTCTGTAATTCTTACTCTCACTACTTCTACTTCTTCTGATTCTGTTATCTCTGCTTTTATTATCAGCTCTTTCTGTTTCAAGAAGATATTGTATAGACTTAATGAATTATATTTCTCAGTGTATATACTTTCACTCTTCTTATCAACTTTTAAAATGATTTATTATATAAAGACTGTATATAATATAACTATCTGAAGCTTAATTATAAATACTAATTATTATATTTGTTTTAAATATTCATGATAAGATAATTATTCATTTATATCAGAGAATCACTTTCTCTCTTAACAGTGTTGAGATTGTAAGTCTTTTTCTTTTTCATCTTTTCTTTCTAACACTGATTTTCTTATTGTTTGTGACAGGCTGCGCCCGATCAATTATATAGACTATTTCATTACACTTCACAGATTTCTATCACTTTATTCTTGAACACATATGCTTCAATTCTCAGCCATTCTCAATCACTGATTCTCAGCTGTCATGAACATGTATAGATTCTTCTGCCTCAAAGCTTCACTGTGTACATCATCACATATACATATAAATATTCACTTCAATCACTGATTCTCATACTTTCTCTTTCTTTTTCTTCTCTAATGTTTTTCTCTTTGTTATATAAGACCTATTAATATCATATCAATCTATTCAGTGTAGGTCTCTTACACTAGAAAAACATTCATTGTCTTTTTATTAGAAATAATTATTCATGCATTATCTTCTCATTAGAAACAATTATTCATTGAGAAAAATCTGAACATGTAATAATGTGTAAGAAATAGAGAAACAGTCAAACAGTTAAGTGAACACTGAGTTCTCAGATAGAAGCTTACTCATCAGTCACTCTGACTCTGTAACAAGATCTTACAAAGAGAGTAAGATTTTACAAGAGAATATCAGTGAAAGACTCAAGAGTTCTGATACTCAGATATATAAAATATTCATATAATTACACTGCTTCAGATTTCATAGATATCATACATTTAATAAATAATATAATCATGTCTAATAACAATATAAGAGAACTCTTAAATGTGAGTATAGATGTGATGTCACAGTGACTCTAAACAATGTTGAAATTACAATAATAATAAATAGCTAATATGCATGCAACTCAACTCAACAATGTCAATATAAAGAGATTTAACAATTATCACAATAAGAAACTCATGTAATTTCAACATTTACAGAATCAAATATAAAAGTACTGAAAGAATACTTAGATGCTTCTGCATATTTCAATACTTTCAATCTCACTCTCTAATTATTATGAAGAATGAAAATGCTCATGAAACTGAGTGTAGATAAAGATGTCATCAGTTCATTAACTAATCAAGATTGATATATCAATGAATGATTGAAGAATCACACAAAACAGAAGTTTCATTCATGAATAAAAGTATACAAATCAGTGTTACAAATGCCTGATAATATTATCAAATATCTTGATATTCTGTTCTGAGACACTGCTATATAACAGAAAGTATTAGATTGATCATAGAGTACTTAACAGAGAAACACTTCTCTTATAATATTTATTCCTGACTTCAACACTAAGATTCTAGAAGCAGGTGATTAATCTTGAGAGAATTAAATACAGATTAGTATACTCAAGAAGACATTAACTTTCAAACTCTTACAGACTCTTATAAGTGTAAATGAAGACTCAACTTATAAAGGCTTCTACACACAGCTTCAGACATGCCCCGGTGGCCGAATGGTTAATACGGCCACCCGGTAGCACCTTGGCGTGGGAAACCAAGGCGCGTGGGTTCGAAACCCGCAGGGGATACATTAAATCCGCAACTCAAGCATCTCAGGTTTCTAATAAATACAGAGGTGTACAAATTGCTTCAATGAATTGCTCTATGTTCCTGGGCTGAGAAGTTATTATCGCATGTATCTAATTGTCACTCCTTTGTATTTTCCTATGTTCTTGTTATCTTGGTGTGATCTCAACACCTGTATTTCCTCCTGTATAACCAACACTTGACCTGTATTTAACATCATGCAAGAACTCATCATAAGCTCCGCTTGCATATGAGTATAATGAAAGAATAATAATAATAATAATAATACAGCTTCAGACATTAAATGACTGTCTTATCAAGCTCAAGAGTATACAGAACAGTGGCAGAAGATATTACATCTCAGTTACTTATACACTTATACTGAAGAGGAGTAACAGTAATGATGCAGATATTATGAACTGAATAGACTCAAATGTCTATGCATAAGCAAGAGTTTCTGTCATTTGAACAGACTTTCAAGTTTCTGAGATCACTCTCAAAGAAGTCACTGATTGATGTCAATATAAAGTGTGTATTAACTGTAATTTATCAGAATACATTGCTTTCAACTGTTAATCAGTCTACATACCTTCTCACTTGAAGAATGAATCAATTCCTGTC